AAGACCCAGAGGGATCGGGTGGAGAGGGAGGTGGGAGGGGGGACCGGGATGGGGAATACATGTAAATCCATGGCTAATTCATTTCAATGTATGACAAAAACCACTGCAATGTTGTAAAGTAATTAGACTCCAACTAATAAAAATAAATGGAAAAGATTAAAAAAAATGAAAGTGAAATACTTTTTTTTGGCCACACCACATGGCTTATGGGATCTTAATTCCCTGCCCAGGGGTTGAACCCAGCACCACAGCAGTGAAAGCACCAAGTTCTAACTACCGGGCAACCAGGGAATTGGCAAGACTTTTTTAAACATTACAGAAACTGAAGGATTCAACATCAGCAGACCAGCAGTAAAAGTAATGTGAAAATAGTTCTTTCAGATAGAAGGAAAATGATATACACGGAAATACAGAGCTACACAAAGGAACTAAGGCTACTGGAGATGGTAACTAATGGGGTAAAGATAGAAGACATTATACTGATTATTTAAATCTCTTTAAAGAAACAATTGACTATTTAAAGCAGGAATAATAACAATATGTAATATGTTAACACAGATGTAAAACGTATGGCAACAATACTGCAAAGGCCAGAAGGGAAAAAATAGAACTATACTCTTGTTCTTATCCAATATACATAATGGCATAATAGTACTTAAAGGTAGACTGTGATAAATTAAATATACTTTAAACCCTAAAACAATCACTAACATAACAACTAGTTATGTCTAATAAACCCACAATGGAGATAAATAGGAATTTTAAAATATAATTCAAAAGACAGGAGAAAAAGAGGAAAGATATCTAAAAATAATGCATAAGACAAAAAGTAAACACCTAATAATACAGTAGACTTAAATCCATTAATACCAGTAGTTTCAATTAAATATTAAAAATCTTAACGTTGCAATTAAAAGTCAGATTGTCAGATTTGATAGAAAAGAAAGATACTACCATATGCTAACAACAAGAAACTGCCTTTCTCCATAAAGACACAAATAGGTTAAATATAAAAGGAAGAAGAAAGATATATCAAGTAAACACTAAAAAGGAAACTAAACTAGAAGAAAGCTGAGGTGACTATATAATATCAGGGAAGTATACCTCAGAGCAAAGAATATAAACAGGGGACGTCCCTGGCAGTCCAATGGTTAAGAGTCTGCACCTCTTGAAGGGGGCATGGGTTTAGTCCCTGATTGAGGAACTAAGACCCTGTACACCACACACAAAAAAGCCACCCTAACCAGGAATATTTAAAAAGTCATTTTATAATGACAAAGATGTAAATCCAACAAAAGGACATTATAATCCTAAACATTTATGTATTTAATAACAGCTTTAGAATATATGAAGGAAAAATGAAAGAACTTTAAAGAGAAAGACAAATCCACAGTATTGGAAATTTCAAATAGTCTCCTCTTACTAATTGATAAAAACAACACTGTAATGCACCCAAGTGGTGGTGGGGCGGTGAAGACAAACAATGAACAAATAAAGAAGTCTGAGATATAAATAATAAAGTACTGAGAATGTCAGATGGTAAAAAAGTATACATTTACAATGTCAGACAGTACTAAGTTCTGTGGAGAAAAGTAAAGCAGGGTATGCGAAAAGGGAAGAAGGAATGGGGAAGGGATGCTGTTTTATCTAAGTTGTCCAGGGAATATCTTGCTGAAGAAATGAAAGTTGAGCAGAAACATAAACACAAGGGAATAAGCCATAAGGTTTTCTGAGAAGAAATCATTCAAATCGAGGCAAAAGCTTTGAGGGGGTGGGAAACTTGGTGTATTGGGGAGTCAACAAGGAGGCCAGTATAACTAGAGAAGACCTAACAAGCAGGAAGAACAAGGCAAGAGGAACGCAGTAGGGAGCCAAATAATGCAGAGGTTCACAAGTCCTTAAAGGACCCTAGTTTTTATTCTGAATGAAATGGGAGATCATTAGAAAATTCTGAAGAACGACATGATATAACTTACATTTTAAAAATACCAATCTGATTCTTCTTCTTCTTCTTTTTTTTTTATTGAAAACAGACTAGAGAAAAGCAAGGGTGGAAAGGAGACTTAGTAGAAGGCTGCTATAACTGAAGTAAGAAATTTCTAGGGCTGGGGTGGTAGGTGTGGAGGTGGTAAGATATGATCAGATTCTGAGCATATTCTGAAGGTAGAGTCAACAGGATTTGCTAAAGGATTAGTTATGGGATGTGAAAGAAAGTGACAAGTTACAGATGACTCTGAGGTCTTTGAGCTGAGCAAGTATTAATAGAAGGATGGAGTTGACATTTTCTGAAATGGGGACAATGCAAGAAGAGTTAAGTTTTGAGGAACAGAGAGAATGATTAAAAGTACTATTTGGGAAGGTTAAGTCTCATATGCATCATACATCCTAGCAGAGCTGTTGAGTACGTAACAGGCAATACAACTCTGCTGTGTGTGTGTGTGTGTATGTATATACATACATATGTACACAGAAATACACATGCACATGCAAATGTTCATACATATATATAGAAAACTGGTTTAAAGGGGAAAATATCAAAATATTAAGACTTGTCATCTCTGGGGTGTAGGATAATAGATGATTTTTTTTTCTTTATGATAAAATTTTCCGATTTTTAAACAATAAAACTACATTATTCTTATAAACAGAAAAAAAACTAAAATTTTGTTTTGTGTTTAAAGAAGAAATTAGATGACTGTTCTGAAAATGAGAAAAGTGAAAGTAAGAGTTCTGTAAAGAAAAGGCCAAGATTGAATATCACCATTTTGAAGTTTGGGTAATTGGGGCTTTCTCAAGAGAATGTTAGGAACCTGGTGAGGAAGCTTAAGATAGAAATGAAAGAAACTGACAATATATGGCAAAAACTACTACAATATTGTAGTAATTAGCCTCCAATGAAAATAAATTTAAAAAAGAAAGAAACTGAGAAGGAAGGTAATAACAGAAATTTCAAGGACAAAAAACATGTAAGATAAAGAATCAGTATTCACAAAGGGAGAGAGCGGGTTAAATCCAGTTTAATGCAGGAGATATAGGAGATGAGGGTTCAACCCCTGGGTCAGGAAGATCTCCTGGAAGAGGAAATGGCAATCCATTCCAGTATTCTTGCCTGGAGAATCCCATGGACAGAGGAGCCTGGTGGGCTACAATCCATGGGGTCACAAAGAGCTGTACATGACTGAGTGACTGAGCACACACATGCACACAAATGAAATTTGAGACAGAATGTTTCTAGACTTGGGTATAAAAAGTTATCTTATGCTTGAACTGAATTCTAAAAGCCTAAGTGAAAAACGGAAGAAGAAGGGGCAATCTCAGTAGAAACATCAGGACATAGAACACAGAGATGTGAAATCATGTTGGAATAAAGGAAGGAGTACTATGGTTCCTAGCTGTAAAAGGTGCCAGTGCAAGAGTACACAGGCTGAGGCTTTCAAGCTAGGCAGAAACTCACTTCAACCTTGTGGGTTAAGCCAAACATTTTAAGCTTTATCCTAAAAGTTAGAAAAAGAAGATTAATAACTTGGAAACACATAGTCAGGCCTGTACTTTAGAACCATCACTCTTATACCATTAGCACAGAAAACAAATTTAAAGGTAGGCCAAACTTGAGAAACGAGGTATGGCTGCAAACTGTTGCAGTAGTCCAGGTAGAAAGACAGGGCCTGAGCCAACATAACTGCAACAGGAATGGAGAGGTTGAGACAGATGCAAATAATGTTAAGAAGCTAAAGTTTTCTGTGACTGACTGGATTGGGAAGAATGTGTAAGAGAAAGCAATTTCCAATGATTCCAAAGTTGACTATACACACAGTGGCACATTCACTCAAGGTGCACTATACAGGAGACGAAATAGATTTGGGAAAAGTAAGTCCAGTTTGGATTGTAAGGTAGTTTGGAAAAGACATCAATGAAAGGTATGCATCTGGAGAAAGCGAGCTGTTCTTATTTCCATATATTAAAAGTTGGGGTTCTGAAGTCAGACATCCTGGCTTTAAATTCTCACTATATCATTTACTAGCGTGTGACCCTGAATAGCTATGGTAATTTCTGAGCCTTAGTTTCTCACCTATAAAATGAGGATATAATAGCAACAACTTCATAAGTTATTATGAGGATTAGATGAGATCATACAGCTAAAGCACTAAGAATAGTATACATACAACAACCATTCAACAAACGTTAATTCTCTCTGTGTGTTATTTGTACCCACAGCCTAGCCTTTGACTTTTATATTCCCATAGGAATAACTCAGAAGTTGAGTTTGGTGCAAATTTTCAAACCACCAAAAAGAATAAATAGAAACTTTCAAGGCCTTCCAGTTCTCTGGAATTCATATACCTGGATTTAGACTATGCATTCATATAGAAGAATTGAATAAAACCTAATTAAAAAGAAATTAAAAAGTGAACTATAACATAGAGAACAAATACAATCAATGATAAACACATTATTCCTGACCATAATAGTAATAAAATAAATGTCTGCTAAATGGATAAACATTGAGAGCAAGAGGAGAAGAAGGTGAGAGGATGAGGTGGTTGGATAGCATCATCAACACAATGGACATGAGTCTGAGCAAACTCAGGAAGATAGTGAAGGATAGGAAAGCCTAGTGTACTGCAGTTCATAGCATTGTAAAGAGTAGGACATGACTTAGTGACTGAACAACAACAAATGGATAAATGATTCTGTCATCAAAACAAAATGCAGGTGAGAGCACAAAAAGTTTAAATCAGCATTCTTGCATTTGTTTACATCAAAAGTAAATTTAACTTGTGTTGTATAATACATTAAAAAAAAACATTTAAAAGCCATATTCTTTAAATTATCTCATATTAAATTGATATCAATTATTCTATTAACTTGTATTGTATAATACATTAAAAAAAGTTTAAAAAGCCATATTTCTTCTTTAAATTATCTCATTATATTAAATTGATATCAATTATTCTATTAAAGCCTACATATAGGAACATTACTGTCAAAGGATCAGCTCTCATTATATAATATTAACCATAAGAACTAAGATATTTTTATACCTCTTTTCGCATTCCATAGTTTGTTTTGGCTTGTTTCTTATGACATAAGTTGAATGATTAAGAATCCTAGAAGTAAATCAGCACATTAATTTCATAATATATTAAAGAGAATAGTGTATATACATGATATAAAAATGTCGATAATAAACTGCATCTGGTCCATGAAGATCTTTGCTAGAAAACAATATTTAAATATTATTTAGATCAGATGCCCATATAAGCTCACTGGCTATTATGAAGGAATGAAGCTCACCAATTCTTCCATGCATTTTCTTATATAAACCCTTTCTCGAGGCTTGGATATTTTCCAGCCATGTTATTTTCCTGTGCATATCTAACTTTTAGCTGAGACAGGAGATAAAGAGATGCAGACTGTGTATGTATCATCATAACTGATTTCATTTCTCCCAGCAGAGCAAATGATAGGGCCATGTCAACATAATAAACAATCATTTTGCCAAATAATAAACCTTAATTCCAAATGCAAAGCCAGTGCTAAAGTTCAATTCTTTAAAAAAATCCACAAGTCTATAAAACTTTTAATAACAGAATGAAACAATATATTTGAAGAAAATCAAAAAAAGAAAGAAAAATAAAGTGATAAACCATTACATGAGAGAACCATTTGTTCATAATTTTATATAATTCTAAGTATTGATCTCAAAGTCAAAAGCAATGAATAATAAACTATCTTTAATATAAGTAACTAATATATTTGAGTTCTTAATATTTATCTATTTACTACAGATATAAATGTTAATTTTCAATTTTAAAGTTTAGTTTTATAAGGAGTAGAATATCTACCTTTTATTCAAAATAATATAATCAGATGTCAACTACCAAAAGAATACTCAGGAGAATTTCAAATTAAAGATACATATTGACTATTAAAATATATAATGAAATAAATATAAGTTGGTAATTCCAGAAAGATGGTTTCATAAAGAAACCAATTTCCATTACCCCAGTTTTTCTCACTAGCTAAGATCTAGTAGAGCCTCAACAAGAGGAAGCTACAGTGAGAGGCAAACAATAAGTATCACACACAAAGCAGTGTAGCTTTGCACCAAGTAATTTCTAGATTACTGACACCTTTATTCTTTGTGTCGACAGGCACTAAAATTGTATTGAATCCCCAAATGCAGAGGAATTTAGATAATAAAATATCTAAGAACATCAGGAAAAAATACATCATTAAAGAGTAATTTTTTAAAAAGGAAGTGAATCCTAAGAATTCTCTTCACATGGAAAAATATTTTTCCTGCTTCTTTAGTTTTGTGTATGAGATGATGGATGTTCACCAAACTGCTTATGATAATGATTTCATGATTTATGGAAGTCAAATCATTATACTGAACACCTTATACAAGACTGTATGTTAATGATATCTCGATAAAACTGAAAGAGTAAAAAATTGATTTAAAAAGGAGATGTATCCGTTTTAGCACTGCAAAGTATCCTGGGGGAGGGGGAGGGTCAGAATTATTCCTTTGGAAGGGGGCATCAAACTACAATGCCCTCCACTGCAGTAAATTCGGAATTCTCCCCAAACTACACACACTAGTGTTGTGACTATTGATGTGCATGTGCATTGTTGTGACATGTGATGTGCATGAGTCACGTTAGAGGAGAAAGAAAAATGTTGAGCTCTACTTACTGATAAAATATATTTTATATACTTGAAAATTCTCTGAAAAATTTTACTGTGTACATTGATATTTAATGTTTTACTGTGTGATACTCGGAGTCAAAATAAATGTCTATTTTATCTAAATATCTATTCCAGATTATTAAAACATTTCCCTAATCCAGGTACCAGTACTGAATTTTAGGTAAAAAGGTATATATATAATTCAGCTGCATCAACCTGGCCACTTAATACTTTTAAGGCGTCCACAAACTCTAGATACCTTGATGCACGTCCTGCTGCTCTGGTCCTCTGGAAGAATTTTTCACTGAATGATGCTCTATAACATAAAGGCCTCCGTCTGTATTCATATTTCACGTACATCAACCAAACCAAAAGATGGAAGAAGTAAGATGTTTTGGGAGAGGATAGGGAAGTCATTAGTAAAGCAAGCAGAAAAGAAAGAATGGATAGATTTTAAGGGTTGAGAGAACTACCTAGTTAGTTATAACAAGCTAGAAGTTAACATGATGCTCCTCAAATTAAGAGTTCATATGATCAGAAAAAGAAAAAAATCACATGAAAAAGTAATGTAATAATTTCTATAATTCAAAACTAAAATAATAAACTGCTCAAAATCTGATTTTGCTTTATGTGATCCTTAATTAATTATACTTCGATATAACTTTTCATAATTACTTTTTAAAATTTAGCTATATTACATAGTACTCAGAAGTACATCTTTCCACAGTAAGTAAAAACTCTCAGGATACACGTAAAAGCAAATCAAATAATTATTAAAAATAAATATGTATTAGAAAATACTACAGAATAAGCTAACAGGAATGAACATGCTATGGGAACCAATCAACTGAAGCTATTCATTGCAAAATTCTTCATATAATCTTTTCTTTAGCATGAAAATCAAATTTTAAGAAGCCAGCTAAACATTTACTTAATAAGCCACATAGTAAGAAAATCAGTATAAGAAAGAGCAGTAGCCACTTCTCTAATACTAAGATACACAAGTAGAGTTGGTGAAAATTTGAAGAATTGGTTAAATAATTTACAGAGCAATATTATTTTAAGATAATAGTTTTTTATTTAACTTCCAAAATTATAGTAAAAATAAAATTACAATTTGTGGAATAGCTATTTTAATATAGACAAGGTCACTGACTCAAGGGGACTTCAATACACTCAAATAAAGTAAAAATAATTCAATCTTTTAAGAAAGAGGATAAAGATTAGCTTTAAAAAATTTAACAATAAACTGTCAATACAAAGTAGTTTAATATATGCATCTCAATTAGACAAAGAAGGGCAGTCTTCTAAATAACTAGGCTTTAGACTCTGAACACTTATGATTTATCTATTTGATGGTTTACTTGGTGATCTCTTTTCCCACCCTTTTTGCTTATTAATTCTGTGCAATATTCTCTTGTTATTTTCCTAGGATAGTTTCATCCACCAAGTACTAGTATAAACCTTATTAAAGAATTACATATATTTTTTAAAAAATAGTGTGAACTAAAGTGGCAAAGCTGCTCTAAGAAAATCATCACTGAATTCAACATAAGCTGTTTTTAAATTCCTTCTAATTTTGAAGAACAATGTCTGGCTTCTTTTAGATTTAGCTGAGAGTTAACACTGAATTTACTTTCCACTAATAGCTAGCTAAAGAACAGCTAAATAGTAAGCATACAGTCAAAGTAGAAATCCTAAGTGGTACTTTTTGCTATACAAGAATAATCTTGCCCCAGATAAATTATTTTAAATCAAGACTAACAATAAATAGACAAAGACACTGCAATGATTATCTTAAAACTTAACAAGAAATATTACAACTTCTGGTTGATTTGCAATTTCAAATAGCATTTCAGATTCTTCATTTAATAAAACTAGAATCTAAAACAATACACTGTGAAAGGAGAAATCTACAACCAGAGAAGGTATAAAAACTCAAATCCTCTAAGGAATATATTCTTTTAAAAGATTACTTTTGACTTTTAGACTCACTCAAATTTATGTGTTGTAACAGTAAACAACAATTTTAATTATCTAAATCTAAGAAATATAAGCAATAGCAGGATATTTTAGAAGGAAGGATGATATGATTTAACGGAGAAAATAATAGATTCAGCATAAGAAAATTCTGAGCCCAGTTTAAGTTTAGCCATGAACAGAATAGGCTAGGGATCTAAATTGTCTATAGATTACACATTTTAAAAGTAAAATGTACTCCTTACTTTATGACCAGATATCACAAAATTTTAATGCCTTCAAAAATTAAACATAGTTATTATAATGTTAATGTCACTGATTATTAATCCAAAAAACTCTTATAAATATATGAAAAATATATAAATTTATATGCACTAACATCTGAAAAGGAGAATGGAGAGACAGTTCAGAGAAAGAAATTAATTTTGCATAAATTTAAAAAATGACAAAAATTATGTAGAGGGAACATAACTAAATTAATGGTTCCTACTAGCTTTAAATTTGATCTCATTTTCAAGTAATTAACCAGTAACGGTATTAACGAATACCTACTATGTACAAGGCAGAGCTAGGTACTGCTTTGTACTTATTACAAACTATCAAAAAGCAAGACCTATGAAACATCATTTGATGTATTTAGGTTGAAAGAGTAATTTAAGTCAGAGGGATAGATGTAAAACTAATACAACAATAGGAGAAAACTGAAAATATAGAAATGATATATATGGCTATAATAAATTCTAAAATTATACACTCAAATGCAATTCTGGACATGAGGGAAATACATATTGTTGTGGGTTCTTATAAAATCAATATTATCTGTTCATAATGATAAATGCAATTTTTTCACCTGCCAGGTAGGGGAGGTAGAAACTTAACTATTTTTTAAGCTACATAGAGCAGGTGGTGGCTTGCTTCATCCAACCTCTTAAACCAATGGGGCCATCAATACTTTAATTATACTGAAGGGGGAAAACACATACAACCTCATAAGTAGTCAATTTTAAAAAAGGCCCATTAGAAATGAATCACAGGAAATATTAGAAGATAAGCTTCAAAAAGGATGACAGAAAAGCGTGACAGAAAGTTATGACAGAAGAAAAAATGTCAATTGGGAATGAGGATACATTAGATATAGAAGGGATAAAGATATTTTCTAATATGGTTTTTAATTCTATAAATGTAGTAGCAGTGCAAAAAGAGATACTTAGTGGTTATTTTACAAACTATTATAGGGCAATATACTTTTTACTAATTGACGTAATTAAATCTCACAGGTCAAAGTTTTATTTGTGAAACATAATCATTCTCTTGTTTAGCAATAAAAAAAAATCAACCTTGTCAAATACTCTGGAAAAAAAAAAAAAAGAAACTATTATAGTGGTCCCTAATACCACACATCAGTCATTGAATAAGTTTTAATAGTAATTATTTTTCAAAACATCTTTAAGTAAATGCCAACATACTTTTTTAAACATTCTGAAACATGGTCCTGTGATCCATAAACATTTATCACTTTGAATATGTAAAAAACATAGTCGTTATCCAAATTAAATGCACCAAAATTATTCTTTTAATTTTCTCAAAACAAACAAAAAAAAATCTCAGTTCTGCTTTATTATTTCGATATTATTAATATAAATGTAGCACTCTCAGTACATGAAGATGGCAATAACAGCCAACCCTCAGCAGCACGCAGAACCTTCTCTGTATAAAAAATGAACTTGCACTGATTTTATACTCATTAACACAAGGTCCTCCTCATTGCCAATAACATGCATTTGGAGAAAGCCTAGACAGAGAGAGAAATGCTCCTTGACCAAGACACAGACTAAAGTGAATCTGTGACTCTCAAACTGTCACACTGATCTAATCAGTGATTATACAATTCAATTTTAAGGAGTTTACACATATCCTGAGTAACTCAAAATCAGATAAAAAGCACACTATATACTTGTGACATGTACTTGGAAAAAATGCTTATAACATATCATGCTATTGTGAGCTAAGATGAATATCAATTATTATTATTTAGCACAAAGGAATAAAAAAGATATTGAAGCAATAAACAGAATGACTATATGAGTATAAAGTATTCTGTTAATTATATATGTAATTTTATATTTTTTTCTAAGTATTTCCTATTGCCTTTTAGTAGATGGTCTTGTTTACTGTTTATTTGACAATCTTTAAATATCAGATTTAATGATTATAAAATTTGCCCATTTAAATCTCATTACTGAAAAAAATACCTGTTCTTCTGCTCTTGCTGCAATAACTGAACAGCTATTTTCCTCAAATCAGTTACTTCCTTCAAACCATCATCCTCTTCCTCAGCAAGTAATTGTTCTTTCCCAAGTCTGAAAGGTAACATAAACATGATTATCCAAAAAGTAAGGCAGATGATATTTTATGTTAGCTTTCAGATGTAGAAACCATTTTTCATTTTAATAGCACATGAAATGTTCTTGTATTTAAAATGTTAAAATAAGAAATAAAGAATATTGAAGGAATATACAAACATATTAATATCTATCCTCTCAATAAGAAATGTCGCATACTGGTTATATTAATATAATTAATGGCTAACAAAGTAAACTGCATTACTATTTTGTAATTTCTGAAATGTGAAATAGCCATAGTAATTTAACAATGCGTATTCTCCATCTTGAGTGTAATAAGGAGCACAGAGCTCTATTTGGCCTATCTTTAGAAATAGATAGAAAATGTTACGAAAATTTTTCATTTTATCAAACCACTCTGCTTTTATCAGTTCATTTATTTTGATTTTTAAAATCTCTGTGTAAAATGTTTAAGTAGTGAAAATGCAAAATAGATTCAGATAAGATTGGCAAATTTGCAAAAAATATTCATTAAAATATATGTATCTTTTTTGTCATTTAAAAAGAACAAAGAAATTTTAAAATTGTTCTCTAAACTCTAGTAATTTTATCCCAAAGGCATTTCATTTAAAAAATGGTGTCAGCGACTTCCCTGGCAGTCCAGTGGTTAAAACTCTGCATTTTCACTGAAGAGGACACAGATTCGATCCCTGGTGGGGAAACTAAGATCATGCATGCTGCATGGAAAGGTAAGTAGGCAAGTAAGTAAGTAAATAAATAAATAATGGTATCAAACCTAAGACTCTGTATCTTTACCATATCTTGCATGCTACTGGAGTCTCTCAAGGTAAGACAACTGTCCTCATACGATAACATGAGAAAGTAAGAGAAAAATGAAACACAGAGAGTAAAAAAGCACTGTAACCTCCTTATGGGGCACCAGAGATGATTAATTAATGACTATTAAAAAGTTACCAATGAGGTCATTTGAGGGAAGCACAATACAGAGAAAAGAGAAAAACTTGGGGATCAGAGAGCTAGACTCACACCCAAGGTTCTAGTGGACACTAGCTAAGTGGTTTTAGACAAGAAACTTTATAGTCTTCCAGCTTCACCTTCCTTATCTGTAAAAATGTGGACAATATCGACCCTGTAGGATTTTGAGAAGATTAAGTAAGAAACATAGGAAAGCATGTAGCACAGATCCTGGTAGATGGTAGGTATTCAACAAATACTCTTTCCTTTCTGAAAAAAATGTGGTAGGTCAATTTCTATCATTTCATAAGACAAAGGATACATAAAAGATCCAAAGTAAATTATTTTAATAAAACAGAGAAGTAAATACCCTTAAAATTACCATACCCAATCTTATGTAATGTAAAGTTTATTAAATCAAGAGTCAGAACACCTCAGTTTGAGACATTTGAAACTCCAGGTCTCAGTTTCCTAATTGGTCAAATTATAGCAATACCATCTGTTTTAAAGAACAGCTAGATAGCTCAAATGAGGCAATGTATGGGAAAGTATAATTTTCTTCAATAATAGTAATGGGGACATTATAATTACTTATGGAGAAAAACAGTGTACATACTACATTCAACTTATATGTTTACTATAATTTTCAGCTTCATTGAGGAAAGCAGACAGATGAAATATTCACAAATTAACTATCTGAACTTAACAAGTAAATGAACAAAGAATTTATTCACTTAAGCAGAAATATCTAATGATATTTCAAGTATTAATAAGCAGTACTTCAATTTGCAAATTCATGTGTGCTTACCTTTTTTCATCTCCCAATTCTTCATTTTTCTGAGATTTTTCAGGACCTTTCTCTTTTCCCTTATATAAAAGAAAGTTATCATTTTAAATTGCATGGTTCACTTTTGTGAGATTAAGGAGAATGTGTTATTGATATTTGTTCAAAGTTTTCTTTACCTTAAGGAAAGCAACAAATGATCCAATATGTGCATCTCCTCGTTCAGGAACTACTACATCATCTGTGTTGGCGTCAGTAAAATCATACACCTCCTGGTCTAAGTATAGATTAATACTTATTAGAAAATATGAATAGTAAACAGTGTGCTCTCTCACTGCAGTGCTTAGAAAAAAGTATATTTTTCTCAATAAAAGAGTTGATCAAAGATGCTATAACTTGGGGGCTTCCCAGGTGGTGCTAGTGGTAAAGAACCCACCTGCCAATGTAGGAGATGTAAGAGATATTCAATCCCTGGGTCAGGAAGGTCCCCTGGAGGAGGGCATGGCAACCCACTCCAGTACTCTTGTCTGGAGAATCCCACAGAAAGAGGAGCTTTACAGGCTAAGGTCCATAGGTTGCAGAGTCGAACACGACTGCAGCAACTTAGCAAGCACGCGCACACTATTATTTTTAAAGCCCACTTTTAAAAAATATTCATTTTTAAAAAGGGCTATATACATGACATAAAAACAGCAGACACCTTATGAATTACCTTTTTGAGAATCAGGTTTACTTCCTACTGAGTGACTGTCATTTCTGGATGTCTGCTCTCTATTTGATTCTGACACTTGAGAATGAAGGCTAATTGTGTCGTCATCTGATGGCTGAATGCAATAAGTAAAAAGTAAAAATGAAGCATTTTACACATATGATAAAGATTAAGTTGCTTTAATTCCATATATGAAGTACAGAACACCTGATTTAAATCTCCAGTTTTAAAACCAAAAATTAATATGAGTTTTACTGTTTTGCTTTTAAAACTGTACAAGTCTTTTTTTTAACTTGAGGTCATAAAATGCAATGCTGATCATATTTTTAAGCAAAACAAATGAAATGTGTGCAAGTGCCTATCTACTTCAAAGCTCTAGTAAAAATTTTTTGCTTTTCTAATAAAATTTTAAAATAAAATAGTTCAGTAATAGAAAAGACTCACTTCTGTTGTAGACAATCGTTTCTCTCCATTATCACTTCCAATTCCAGAGTCAGGACCATGATTTTTATTTGGATAAAAATCTTCCATACTATGGAAATACAAATTCTAAGGGCAGTTAAGGTTTTCTTCTTAAATAGGCAATACATAATTGACCTAAAATTTCGCTAGATAATATAGAATATAGACTTTTGATATGTAAGATCCTTAAAAAATATGAGGGGAAAAATATCAGATCAGATAAAACACTTTATCCATGTCCTTCATGTAATATTTTCACATGCTCTGTCGCAAAATAGGTTAACAATAGCCTTGACAATAGCCTATTATTTCTCCTGAGAGATTCAGAAAAGCAGATAGTCCTGCTAGAAAATCATCTTAATAAAGATCTATTTTTCTTATGAGTTTATCAACTTTCTCCATATAATGCTGGAATGTTTTTTAACCTTAATACAACCATGTCTTCATTATCTCTAAAAATATATTTAGCTTCATAAATAAGAACCATTAAGTAATTAAGAGAAAAAAGGCCAAAAAATGCCAGCATTGAATAAGCAATTGTTTTGGTGTGAGGAAAGAGCTGTCCTTGCAAATTTCTGAATTACAGTATGTTACTCAGGCTGCAAAATAGTTTTCACTTGAATTTGCAAATTTACCATATACTCTACATTGACCACTCTATACTCTATGGTATAGAGTATGACCATACATATGCCAAGAATTGGGCTAATTTTTTTTAAGTATTTTATTTTAAGTATTTATTTTAAGTATATAATACTTCACATTCCTTGTGAAAACTCTAGCAGGTTATTGGTGCTTTCTCATTTTACAGAAAAGGAAACAGGCCAGGAAGGGTTGAAAAAATGGCCCAATGACATACAACTTGCAAATGGCAGTCTAAGTTTTAACCCAAAATTATCTAACACTGAAGTCCCTGATCTCCTATATTTCTTCCCTAAATACTGATTTTATACTTTTCAGGAGTATATCAACAAACTTAGGGAAGCAATTACCAATGGTTAAGGCACAATGCTGAACACCTGAGATGAGATGCATTTTAATATGTTTGCTTTCAAAGCGATCTCAGCCCAGAGGGGGAGTATGCTTATCTGTTCTGAAGGATATAACAAAGGTAAATGGGGCTTCCCAGATGGTTTAGAGGTAAAGAATCCACCTGCCACGCAGGAGATGAGGATTTGATCCCTGGGTCAGGAAGATCCCCTGGAGAAGGAAATGGTAACCCACTCCAGTATTCTTGCCTGGGAAATCACAGTCAGAGGAGCCTGGCAGGCTACAGTCCATGGGGTCGCAAAAGAGTCACACACAACTTGCCGAATCAATAGCAAGAACAAACGTAAATATAAATTTTTCCTTGGGAAGGTGAGGAAAGGCCTCACCCAAGAAAGCAGCATTTGAGATTAATCTTGAAGGATGAAAGACAACAACTGCTAGCATTTGCCGAGGGCCTACACTGTGTTAGACACTATGCCAGGTGCACCTCATATTTTATAATGAAATTGTATAATTTATGCATTATTATTTCTTCTTACAAATGAAGAAATAAAGCTAATAAAAGTTAACTTCCCAAGGCGAAATATTATGACATTTACTGAGTATCATTTACTGAACTAGTTGCCAGACACAAATTTAATTCTCAAAACAAGCTTATGAAGTATGTATTGTTAACATTTTAAATAAAGAAACAGGCTCAGAAAAATTAAATAACTTGCATAGGCCAAGTAGGAATTACGAGGTTAAACCATAATTAGAACCAAAATCCATCTGACTCCACAGCCCAATAAAACTGGAAAAGGTCAGTTTTCATTCCAATCCCTAAGAAAGGCAATCCGAAAGAATGCTCAAACTACCGCACAATTGCACTCATCTCACACGCTAGTAAGGTAATGCTCAAAATTCTCCAAGTCAGGCTTCAGCAATACATGAACTGAGAACTTCCAGATGTTCGAGCTGGCTTTAGAAAAGGCAGAGGAACCAGAGATCAAATTGCCAATATCCACTGGATCATCGAAAAACCAAGAGTTCCAGAAAAACATCTATTTCTGCTTTATTGACTATGCCAAAGCCTTCGACTGTGTGGATCACAATAAACTGCGGAAAATTCTGAAGGAGATGGGAATACCAGACTACCTGACCTGCCTCTTGAGAAACCTGTATGCAGGTCAGGAAGCAACAGTCAGAACTGGACATGGGAAGATGGAGGAGGAATAGAACGGGGAGACCACTTTCTCCCCTACAAATTCATTGAAAGAACATTTGAACGCTGAGCAAACTCCACAAAACAATTTCTAATCACTAGCAGAGGACATCAGGCGCCCAGAAAAGCAGCACATTGTCTTCAAAAGGAGGTAGGACAAAATATAAAGATAAAAGGAGAGACAAAAGAGCTAGGGACGGAGACCCGTCCTGGGAAGGGAGCCGTGATAGAGGAAGTTTCCAAACATCAGGAAACCCTCTCACTGGCGGGTCTGGGGGAAGTTTTTGAATCTCAGAGGGCAACCTAACTGGGAGGAAAAATAAATAAAACCCACAGATTACATGCCTAAAAGCAACTCCCAGCAGAAAAGTACCCCAGATGCTCGCATCGGCCACCAGCAAGTGGGGACGGAACAGAGAGGAGCGGGGGGCATTGTTTAGGGTAAGGACCGGGCCTGAATGCCCTGAAGGCAATCGGAGGGAGCTAACATGAGATAGCAACTTAAACTGTGGGAGAGCAAGAGAGAGAGAGAAAATTAACCGGCGAAAAGCATGTGAACGGAACACACTGTCCGCCCTTGGCAGAACAAAAGAAAGACTGAGCAATTCCAGAGAAGAGCTAGCCGGCGGTGGACAGGCCCATCCCCCGCCAGAGGCAGGAGGCAGAGGGGAGGAGAAAGGAACAAACTCGGCCCCAGAGACGGCATCCCCTACCAAACTGCAAACAGGCTCCCAGTTTCTAACCAAAGACATCCTGAGATTCTGGATGGTTGATATCTGCCAGGAAGGTCGTGGCTAGAGGCCAGCTCCTCAGAACAGACACAAGCCACACCCAACCTGCACACACGCACGGAAACTGAGACAGGGACCACGGAGGGGATAAGGCGCGCTGCACCTAGGGAGAGTGCGCTCGTCAAGCTCCTGGATCCCTGAGCTGCTCTGGCCGGGGAAAGCACAAAACGCAGGCCCAACCGAGTCTGCGCTTTTGTGGAGTACCCGAAAACCAGAACAGCACGCCACGCAGGGCCCCCTCCCTATAGAGCAGCCTGGAGCCTGAGCAGTGTAGACGGGGAAAGCACACACGACCGCCACGAGCGGGGGCAAACTCACTGGCCGAAGACTGTGCGTGCTCCCCACACGTGCCAGTGATATCTGTCTGCAGCTCCCCTCCCTCCCCGCAGCACGACTGAATAAGCAAACCTAAGCAAGAGACCACCTCCGCCCGCTTGTGTCAGGGCAGAAATTAGATACTGAAGAGACCTGCAAACAGAAGCCAAATAAACAAAGGGAACTGCTTCAGAAGTGACTGCTGCAACAGATTGAAATCCCTGTAGTTAACACCAACTACACCTGAAGGGGCCTACAGATATTGAGAAGTGTAAGCTGGAACAAGGAGCTATTTGAAACTGAACTGACTCCACACTGCCCACAAGAGCTCCAGAGAAATTCCTAGATATATGTATACTGTTTTTTTTTTTTAATTAAAAAATTTTTTTTCTTTTTTTGTTTTTTCTTTAATTTTTTAATTTTCTTTTAAAATTCCCTAATACTCCTCTATTATTCCTTAATTTTCATTTTCATTCTCATATATTTTTACTATTTTTTTAATTAAAAATTATTTTTCTTTTTTTCTTTCATTTTCTTTTAAAGTCCTCTATTACTCCCCTATTACTCCTTAATTTTCATTTTCATATCACTATAACCTTGCAAAAAAAGACCCTATTTTTAAAGCAAACTTCATATATATTTAATTTTTTTGTGTTTTTGTTTTTAATATTGTATTTTTAAGAGTCTAACCTCTACTCTAGATTTTTAATCTTTGTTTTTCAGTATTTGATATCAATTTTGGATGTTTAAGAAATCCAGTATTCAGTACCCAGTACTGAGTACCCAGTACTCAGGAGTGTGACGATTACTCTCTCCCCTTTTTGACTCGCCTTTTTCTCCCCCAGATTACCTCTATTTCCTCCCTCCCCTTTCTCTTCTCAGTCCAATTCTGTGAATCTCTGTGGGTCTTCTGGGCTACGGAGAACACTTACGGAACAGAGTACTGCATAGATCTGTCTCTCTCCTCTTAAGTCCCCCTTTTTTTCCTCCTGCTCATCTCTATCTAGTTCCTCCCTCTCCTCTTCTTCATGTAACTCTGTGAACCTCTCTGGGTGTCCCTCACTGTGGAGAATCTTTTCACCATTAACCTAGAAGTTTTATTATCAATGCTGTATGGTTGGAGAAGCCTTGAGGCTACTGGAAGAATAAAACTGAAAGCCAGAGTCAGGAGACTTAAGCCCAAAACACGAGAACACCAGAGGACTCCTGACTAGAGGGAACATTAAGTAATAAGAGATCATCCAAAAGCCTCCATACCTACACTGAAACCAACCACCACCCAAGAGCCAATAAGTTCCAAGCAAGTCATACCACGCAAATTATTCAGCAATGCAGGAACATAGCCCTTAGAGTCAACATACAGGCTGCCCCAAGTCACACCAAACACACAGACCCATCTCAAAACTCACTACTGGACACTCCACTGCACTCCAGAGAGAAGAAATCCAGTTCTACACACCAGAACATTGATGCAATCTTCCCTAACCAAGAAACCTTGACAAGCCAATCATCCAACAACACCCACTGGGAGAAACCTCCACAACAAAAAGGAACCACAGACGACCAGAATACAAAAAGGCCACTCCAAACACAGAAATCTAAATAAGATGAAAAGGCAGAGAAATAACCAGCAGGTAAAGGAACATGAAAAATGCCCACCAAGCCAAACAAAAGAGGAGGAGATACGGAAAATACCTGAAAAAGAATTTAGAATAATGATAATAAAAATGATCCAAAATCTTGAAAACAAAATGGAGTTACAGAT